AAATGTATGTTTGTAAATTATATATTCTATTCGCTTTTTTACCTTAAATAAAATTAAGAACTACCGAAACTCTCCCCCTCTCTCTCTCTCTCTCTCGCTCTCACTTTGACGAACTACTATAAATTTTATACAAGGAATGACGAGAGTCCACTGTAGGTATTCAGTTTTTATTAAAGATTGCAAAGAGAACTTGTAACGAAAAAGTCTTTCTTTCACACGAGATACGGCAGATAAAAAGTTGGACGAGAATGAAAGATAGAAACGGATCAAATTGAAAAAGGGAGGAAAACAGAAATTCCTTTAATTATTCGGAGAATAGTGATTAAACTTAGTCGTAACTCGTCGTCTGACGTTTTCGGTAATCGATATTCCCTCGTTAGGAAAATGTGGTAGCCAACCTCTGCTATTCGGTATTAACGGCCATTGTACTTATTCATTATATGCAATGTATTTGAGAATTTATATCACGGCTATCTGTGACTGACTTAACGTCTCTTTTTCTTACGACAGCTAATCCAGCTATAAATTTTCCCTGTCTCGTCTTCTTATCGACAAAATTATCTATTGAAATTTATCTCAATAAAACCTCTCTTTCCTGTGTTATCATTTATATATTTTAGTTAGTAGACTTAAACATGCAGAGCTATCCAGTGACATATTGCGCTCGGTTTAACAGTACATCCATTTGGATGCATTAACAAAATAATTCATAAAATTTTTATACAACATTTTAAAATAAAACAGAACTGTCCCTTCTTGTTTTTTTTTAAACTGCTGACTATCGCGGAAAAATCATTAAAAATGAACGGAAACGGATGAAATTACGTATCGTCATAATAATTTCATTAAATGCAATAGACGGCAAGAGAGATAACATATTAGGCTTGAACGAATTTCCATAAATACAATGTGTACTTTTTCGAAATGTATAATACCATTTATACATATATCGATAGCATAGCAATATCGCGTCGCATATTACACATTTAATTGTTTCTCGTATTCATTAATGGCTCTTTGTCACTAAATATTCCGCCTACGTATTGACTATGAGCGGCACATTGATCTCTATGCGATCGATCGGTCGCAAGAAGAGCGCTCGGCGGCCCTGCGCGAGTGAAATCTCGATCATCACAGAAGCGACCGCGCCCAATAGCAGCTCGAGTTTCAACATTTTTTTCTTCCCCCTCCCCGCCCCCCGCCCCCCTCTTCGAAACCGACTTACTGGACCGCTGTTAACTATACATTTGTCGGGCGTTATTACGATCGGTTTGTCATAGATTCCCGTATATTTTTACGACGAGCGTGTCTCTCGAAATGTTCCGCGAGTTTGTCAATTGCGTGCAAGCCGTCGATCGGTTATCCGCGAGCAGTTGCATAGAGCCAATTATATTTTGTTTTGCGCCGGGAGATGAAAAATAATGCACAATATTTAACGCAGGTCTGTATCTGCGGTTAAATATGCGTGTACACAAATAACTTGTCTGATTTCTTTGTTTTCGAAATGTATCGACATTGAAAAACGGACAATGGCGATAATAATGGTCAAAAGGATCTATTTATTGCAATATTTACATCTCTTTCACGTTATTCGGGAATAACTGTCGAATCTCCTTCAATGTGTCTACATTTACTAATATGTTTTTTTACCGGTAAAAACATATAAAAATTCAAATTCCAGTATCTACGTTCAACGTTGTGAAATACGAAACTGGTTGGCCTGGAAAAAATAACCACGGAATATTGTCGGCCAACTGTATCCGCAATGTTCTCGAACTATTCTCAATCAAAACTGTTTGCAAACGATGTTTATAAAAGAGAAAGAAAGATTTGGAGTCACATATTTGCGTTTTATATGAGATATAAAGACGAAAATGTTAAGTGTTATGTTCCGTTCTCTGTGTGCCGTCACAATTACTCGAAATCTTTCAGTCGAATTCTCTCCCAATTTTTAATAGCAAATAATACGAAAGAAGAAATTCGAGCCAGTGCTCGTTGCGCGCGGTAATACCCCAAAAAAAAAACGTAATCGTTCAACGACTCAGTTAGGTGAAGGTTACAGGTACAAGAGTCGCTGCTAAAAATTAATATGCGTTACCGGATTATTCAATAAATGCTACGAAATAAAAATCATACGATACGCGAAACTAAAACTACTATCAACGATAGCAAACCAAGTTGCAGTATAGACGCCCATCAATTCCGCGTATACCTCGATAATGGAAACTCGCCGGGTCGCGCCGACCCGCGTAGCGGATTTTTGCGAACACTAGCGCGAAATTTATGGCGCGGAATATTTCAGTCCGCGCAACACAATCCTCGGCAGGGTTTCGAATATATTAGGAGTCGCGCGTTGGGTGCATGCGCCATGCCGCCGCCACGCTCGACAGATAATAACCGAGTGTCTCGTATCTCTCTAATTGCAAACGAAGGGCGTAGTGCTGTAGGGAAACCTCCCTCTTGGCGGTTCCGCCTTGCGCCGGATAAGCGATAAGGATCAAACGAAGGTGCAAGATGTTAAGTCCGGCGGCCAACCACAGTCATTCTCGTCCGATCTACATGTGTAATCCGTGGTATTCGTTTAACTTACACCAATAAAATCAGAATACTCGAGATCGGAGGATGTCGAGTTGATATGACATATGGATAATTTTTTTCTGCGAGAGGATATTAAATCTCCGTGCAACAATACCAAGGAGCGAAAAAACAGAAATAGATAAATGAAAAATCTTGACTTTCAATGAAATAGAAAAAATAGATAATTAAAAAAATTAAGTATAATAACGTAAGTTTTATTAAAAAATTGTTATTTAATGAAATATGAAAATTAATATATTTAATAACTTACGAGGGACAAAGCTGTTGTCTTAATTAACGTGGCATCAAATTAGACGGAAGTGACAACTCACAAAATGACAGTGTTATTCTGCGAATCAAGGTATTGCTGTTCGTTAAACCACGTATGAGCGAGCTGTCATCCTTCAATATGATTTTGCATTCAACAAGATTTAATAAGTCGCGTGAAAAAGCCGATCTCACGCGATTTACCGGTCGTCGTCAACTCCGTATATTTCGAGAAGCCCCGTGAATTTCCGGTCGTATCTCGATGTAATATCTTTTCCCTCTGTCTCTTTCTCTTTGTCTTCGCCTCCCATTTCCCCCGTAGTTCGCAAAGGAGCACGAGAGTGTCGAGAGAAACAGAAAAGAAACACACGCTACACCCTATAAATACGAGTGGGTAATTGATTCAGTAATAACTAACTCAAACGAGTCCTTCCTCCTCCATCGTCGACCTTTCTCACCCTCCTCCACCTCCGCGCATAAATATGTATGCAGGCAATAATATAAGCAGGCGCGTTGTTGGTGTTTCAGAAGAGACGCCTTCCAGGAGGTGTATAGTGTACGTCGAATTTTTTTTCCACGCGCGTTACGACGCCGGCGCTCTCATGAGAGCCGATGTATATTTACTTAGCCCATTATCCATTAATTCATTATTTTCTTTGCGCGAAATCATTGATAAGCTCTTGTAGCGACTCTTCTCTTTCTCTCTCTCTCTAGCTTCACATCTTCAGCATCAAATATTTCTTCTAAGCGTGCGACAATAACAGTTTATAATTTATAGCATTTATCTGAAGAAATCTAGCCACTATTACGTTAAAAAAATATCATACTCAATTGTCTCTTTCGTCCGGGCTAAGCCATAGTATGTTCACTCCATGTCGGCCCTTTGATCTTTTCGGTCCCGATCACGTGCTATTCCGCCATGGTTTTGGTCAGGACCCAGCGGCGTGTGCGTGTGTGCACGCTACACTACTACACACTGATTTCACACTACCGCAGACTTCTACATATACTACTAGACTGCTACCTTGCCGGTGATAGACCGATGCACAGTACTTTATTTACCTAACAAGGCATGGCGGAATCATAGTATAACTAGTAGGTCCACTCCATAGCCATAATATATCTAGACCGAGCGTTTGCCTTTATTTGAACAGTTCTCTCTTGTTCACATGCGAACGAGAGAAAACGAAATAGCACAAATCGGAGTTCGTCCTTTTCTACGTGAACCTCCACCCGCACTGCTCAATGCTCGGTCTAGATATATTATGTCTATGGTCCACTCTCTGCTGACCCCTTTGATCTTTGCGATCTTCCGATCGCGTGGTATTCCGCCATCCAGCGATGTGTGTGTACGTACTCATCAAAGCCACACTACCGCACATACAACTTTTCTATCATTGATCTGCCCAGAGCAATGTCGGATGCGCAGAAGGGATCCGGCGCAAAACGAAACAAATGACGGGATGAACATATCAGTTATACTACGGCTAAGCTTCAATTATTTGATTATGGAACTTGAATCAGCTTCGCGAAATCCTTCAATGAGGAACGATTACTTTCTCTCTCTACCGACTGACCTTCAGAATGATAAAATTTTAAATTTCCTTCGACCACAGCTGGCCACATTTCTTAATTAACCGGTCAATGCAGAAAATTTATTGCGAAAAATATTACCTCGGCCAGGGTTTGAACCCGGACCTTCCTTACTCTCTAGACGAGTCTCGGGAGAGACGCCCGCCCAGAGAGTAAGAAGGGTCCAGGTTCAAACCCTGGCTGAGGTAATATTTTTCGCAATACATTTTCTGCATTGACCGATTAATTAACAAATGTGGCCGGCTGTGGTCGAATGAAATTTGAAATTTTATTATTATACTGGCAATTTGAAGGAACTAATCTTCGGAATCATCTCTGACTCGTTTTGCGATATCTACGGGGATGAAAATTTCGAAATCGTAGTTTCGCGATAGGTGGTGAAATAATGGTACGCCGAAATAATTAAGCCAGGACACTGTGAAAACGGTGATGAGGGTTAAACGCGCGCGACCCAGATCCATCGCGAACCTGTCGCGTATTCGTTCGCGCCGCGACCAGCGTACGTGAGGACGTGCGACGTTGTTAATGCGTGCACGGAAGTTTTCCGTAACTGATACGTATACCTGAGCACTGTTATCCAGTTACCAGCGCGGCGCAGGGTACCACGAACGTCTCGGTCGTCCCGCTCGAATGTGCAATTTCGAGAGCCGACGCTTCCACTTCCGCCGTCTCCGTCCCCGATATCCACCGTCTGGGATCGATGATTTCTACGCTCCGTTCTCGAGGAATGTCTCTCGATCCTCGTCCTTCGGTCGTGGATCCTGTAAAACGTCAACGTTGTTACTGTAGAATTTTTCACTTGTGTCCGATCAGACGGTGATAACAATGTCGCTGAAACGATTACTCGGAAGTGATCAAAATTTGCTACATGACTTCACGTATTTATTAAAATATCGAAGAAGAAAAGGCAAAAGCTTTTCTTCTGAGAAATAAAAAAAACAGATAATGTCCTTACCTAAAGATTTCTTGTTAATTGATTAAAAAGTTCGTATACTGCAAAGAGGACGAAACAGTGAGTGATGTTAATGTCCGTGTTCTGCAAAAACTTTTAATTATTTTACAAGCTTTATAGCAATATAAAATATATATTCTGATACGTTTTTAAAGAGAAACGTTCACGTAAATCATTTTGATCCACTTTTTGCGTCTGATGAAAACACTTAATAGTTGCTTAACAATAAAAACAAAGCAATATAAAATATATATTCTGATACGTTTTTAAAGAGAAACGTTCACGTAAATCATTTTGATCCACTTTTTGCGTCTGATGAAAACACTTAATAGTTGCTTAACAATAAAAACAAAGGCTGTAAACTTTGGAAAGAACTATTAATTTTTACTGCCGCAAATGAGAAAAAAATTGTAAACGATTCAATTGCATTGAATTAATGGCTCTCAACGGGATGACCAGCAATAACAGCACTACACCGGGCCCAACAAGGGCTAAAGAAGGGCCACACCTTCTTCTCGCGCCCCGCGTAAGTAAGTAGGTAGCCAGCTATTTACGACTATTGCCTCCTGCCCACCTCGTTTCATTACCGATGCATTGCCGGATGCAAACGGACGTACTGGTCCCCAAAGTCACGCGACCATAATGCGCCGACTCGTAAACGTGCGCTTGCGATGCCACCCGGGAAATTGGATTTTAGATTACAAATTGTTCTGCAGGAAGATTTTGCGACCGTGTCTCATTCCTCGTAACTAGCGCGGTTCAATTACTCAATTCTGAAATAAACTGACAACGAGAAGTATGCAAAATACTCGTAACAATCGGCGTTCAACGTTAAATTTGTATATCGATGAAAAAACCAAATTATTTCCTGTTTATTAATTAACTCGAATCTATTTATAGCGTGCATATTCATACCTTATGAATGTCTACTAAAAAATATTAATCGCAAAATGTACTTAGAGTAGAGGCACTTTAATATATTATTCATGCTGTCTGAAAGTCAATCAGTGGACTACCACTGTTTTCACTGTTTCACTGAATTATTCAGTGCTACACTTACAACTGTTTTCAGTGATAATGCACTGATCGACTTTTAAAGAGTGTAGCATGCGATAGAAGACACTATTTCCCGTAAGGTATGCGTTCTGTTGAAAACTAAACGGTTATTAATTCCTAACGTTTGGGGGGAGACATATTGCACTTTCGGCGTCGCACATTTGTTCAACTTCGTCACGATTATGATTACGAAGAAAGAGTAGTAACCAGGGTTGGGAAGTAACTCGTTACTTGTAACGAAGTTACAGTTACAGATACTTATTTTTAGTAACTCTAACTTAACTTCGTTACTTTCTCTACATCTGTAACTGTAACTTAACTCAGTTACATTTTTTCGATAACTAGTAGCTAATTTAATAGTTACATTAAGAGTTACTTTATATATTTTTTCAACCTCCACAGGTCGCATTAGGCCTTCGCATTTGCGCATAAACGCCTTTATCGCCGCTTTACAATTCAAATGCAGATTCGATATTTTTATTTTTATTGCAAGGGAGTAACTGCAAAGTAATGATTCGTTACTTTTCGAGTAACTGTAACTGTAACGCGTTACTTTTCAGAATTGGTAACTTGTAACTGTAACTAGTTACATTGTTAGCGAAAAAACTGTAACTGTAACTAGTTACTTTTATAAAGTAACTTTCCCAACCCTGGTAGTAACACAATATAACAATCACTCAACCTATAAGACAAGGAAGTATGCGCTCCACAAAGTTTCTTATATCTAAATCTATGACTAAAATCGGGACATAGACATTTTGTTTCATCCCATTATTAGTGCAGCGACCAAGTTTTTATTATCGAACGTCTATTCGTAATTGCCGGTGCCGCAACAGAGCACTAATCAAAATTAATACTTTTTTATGTAAAAATTCATTTTCTTGTAAGTATAGTTCGCATAATTCAAACGACTGCTGAAAATACTAAAATCTTTCTCAAGACGAGTCTTCGCAACGGACGTTTCGCGGCGGTTTATATTGTTATGCTGCTTGAATTCTCTCGTTTAATTTTGTAACTGGAACCCAAGGTTTCTTTACTTTGATTGCTACGTTTCAACACGAGACGTACACAAAGTAGACGGGAGGGTATCCTGCCGCATTTGTATCGCGGAAGAAGGTTTAACGGGGAAGTTGGACGGCGTAAAAGGGAATTCGCGGCACGTGATCGACGCGAGAAGCACGTGTCGGTGGCCCATCATGGGCGATTTCGGTTTTAGATACCAACGACGCGTCTCCCCGGCTGAATAAAAGGGTACCGGCGAAGGAGGAAGCCACGCGGTAGGGGCACCGACACGCGCTCAATCCGCTCGTCTTAATGACCCCTCATTATTGTGTCTCGACAAATTAGTCTTGTTATTCCGACATCGAGTGCATGATCCTCTCTCGCAGAAGTACCTTTCAATCTCACCCCCGTCATTTTCGCATTAACATTGATATTATATCTCCAGTGATTATCAAAACCAAAGCTTCGATAACTTTGGAAACCTACCTAGCTTTACGTAACATTTTTTATTGCAACCTAGAGGCGTTAATGATGAATGCAATAAGTTTTACAGTCGTTCGTTAAAAGATTTGTCGTTTCTATGTTGAGCTTATTATTGGAATGATTTATTTTATCATTGCCATCTCTTTCTTAGCGCAAGGTTTTATCTCTCCTCGCCGTAAAACAGAATCATAATATTCGTTACAACGAGACAACCGAGGAGGATTATAGGTGGTGAGAAAGTTACCTCTCTCTCGTACGAGATATTTTCTCGGTGCCATGATCTCGTTACGCGACACCCTCGCCTATTTACCATCCTTCTACAACCGCCAGCACGGCGTGATCTATGGAAATACGGTGCACGCGTATCGTCCGTACATGCACGTGGATCAACACGTGGCCAGAGGCGACGGGCCGATAATAGGTTTGGAGAAAGCTTGTCGATCATGATCGCCTCTGCTCACCGATGCACGACAGTCTGATAAATAGCGACTGCTGCTTAATCCGTACGATCTGATGCCTCTGAGAGAGAGATTTTTATTTAAAGTTATAAATAATATATAAAATTTATATATAAATTAATGTATATAATTGCATTTACATGTAATTTCGTTCAATTTCTAAGTGTATCACCATTCAAATACATATCCGTGTAATAACTGCACACGTCACTGCATTGTCGTATCATTACAGCACATTTATTGCGAAATAATTCTTTCGGAAAAGTAATTTTAACTGTCGCTTAATTTTTACGTCCTATATTTGCATCTCACAGTATAGTTTTGATATCATTGCGTGAAACTATATGCATCCGTTTTAACGAGAGGCTGAATTTAGCTATCGGAACGTAAAGGCTTATGTCCACGGCGCCAGAACTTGGTCCAAGTTCTAGTTTCGAGAAGTGCGTAGCCAATCAACTTGCGACTATTCCACAAAAGCTGCAAGTTGGTTGGCTGCACACATTTCTCGAAACTAGAACGGCGGACCAGGTTCTAGCGTCGTGGACGCAGGCCCTCGGAGACAGTGCATCTTCCGAGGATGCGCGAGGAGCTCAACGGGAACGAAGACCGTAATTCGCGAGGAGTGCACTGTGTCGCGTCTGCACACCGCGCGTGACAGACGCGCGAAAAGCGCTCAAACGCGACGCGACGCGGCTCATCTCGCGGACATAATTGAGTCCTCCTCCGTCTCGCGGCTCCACACCGGCTACGCGCGCCTCGCAGCTACGTCTCGCCGAGAGAGGTGCGACGGAGAAAAAGGAGATTTGTCTCTGCGAGCACTCCGGTGGATTCGCGGATGAGTCCACGGGAGGGCGAGCCGGTTAGCGGAGGAGATGGTAGAAAGAGAGACGGGGGGGACGGGTAAAGGGGCTCTCACGTTACCGACGCTGCGGCTGGGTGTCGGGTTACCTCCGACCTCATCTTCCTCCGGTGCCTCCGCGAGTTTGCCACCATCGACATCGTCCGTCCGTCCGTCCGTCCATCCGCCCGTCCGTATGTCCCCGCGTCTACCCTCCTCGATGCTTTCGACACCGATTTCTGACATCTTCCGCTTTTTGCCCGGTGAGTGCGGACCTGTGTGAAAACTGATGGAACTTAAGTTTCAAGCCCCCGCCAACTCGGCACAGGTGACCTGCGGAATAATCTTATTCGATTAGAAGAACCGAGACGCTTTCCTCGTCGCACGAGTCGACACTCACTGATCTCTAAAAGTGATTAGTTCCACGCTCTAGAAAGCCACTTGTCACTATTTTCAATTATGCGTCGTAGAGGAAGAGATTTCGAGAGATCGGGACAATGGAAACAGCAAATCGGGAATACCCTGGAAATTTCGCTTCGTATCGATGCATAAAACATTAATAAAAATATATCGCACGAAAGCGCAATTGGATACGTGTGCGTGAACAAATATACCGTATCTTGCCGGTGAGGAAAACAATTGCACGACATGTATAGTCAAATCAACTTTTTCATCTAGTCCAGCGGCAATTATCGTGTAATTAATCGCCAAAGATGCACGCGTTTATACATACGCGTACCTTTGTTCCGATGAGAATCATCGCGGCGTACATCTAGGTTACCCCTGGTGGTTGTTTACGGAAGGAAGATGTATGTATATTTAGGGGACGATACGCGGCGTATTGTGTCGGAAAGGGTGGGTGTTTCCCGTTATGGACACCCCTCGATGTCGGTATCGATTATACACCCTCCGACGTGCGAAGGGGCACGAAGCGCGCGCGGCGAAGCGCCGAGGGACCGTTTTAATTATCTCCTGAAGTAATTATAAAAGGGCCGTGCGGGAATCGATAAGTCAAGGGCAGGAGTACCGTCAAGCCGAAACTATTCGACGAAGACACTCCGTTAGAGGGTTGCATTAGACCACTCGCGAAATAAGCGAATTCTAACGACCAGGTATCCAGAACAACCGCACGCATCCGCTAGGACGTTGAGTACAACTAGTACTCGATAATTCAGTATTTAGGTACAGACGCTGGAACGAAAGCGAACTGAGATTATGTCACGGTTAGGCAAAAAGTACCAAAGACCTTCTGGCTTGAGATATTCCCTCCCCAAAGTTTCGCTATCTTCTATTGTAACCTTCAGCTCTTATGAATCTACTCTTGAGCCTACATTTGTGTTAGATGTACAATGTAACGTTTACTAAAAATGTCGTCTTGACAAATATAAATCATTTAAACCCGCGGGATACATCATCACGAAAGTTAAAAATTACACGGGGACAAGAATAAGAGGTAAGATCATAATTTATAAAATCCATATTAGGTACTAACAATAAGTCATGTCCCTAAAATAGAGTTTACAAATCATGCACTTAACTCATTCTCAAGCTGAACCGAAATTATCTCTTGTACTCTCTAAAAATTTTAAGCACCCTCTTTTGTCGTTTCCCGAAAAGAGTCGCGTGATGAAGACAAAGGTTTCTCGAAGGGTCGTTCGACCCGTCGTCTTCGGCCGCGCGATTTTCAGCAATTGTGCATTTTTGGGGATGATGATAATCCTATCATCAGGATAGAGCGGATGAGAATTGTAGAAGTGTAAGAAGGATATAGCGAGGGGCGGGATGGAAAAAATGAGTGAGAGGGAGATAAAGGAAAGGAGGGGGAGAGAGTGAGAGGGACAGGCACAGGGTAATCTAACACCGGAAGCGTCTTGAGCGTGACGCCACCCTGAAGGTGCAGGATACGCGGCGTGGATAGGTAGGCAGGAGGTGGGGCGAAGAAGGTGGAGACGATGGCGATGGTGCAGCCAGCCGGTGGGAGTCGGTCGGTACTCGAGGCCGCCATGCAAGGCGAGCTTCCTTCGTATTTCTCTTCTATCTCTCTCCCCTCCCCCGTTTCCCCCTTTGTCCTTCCGCACAGGCTTTCCCACCTCTACCCACCCCTGTATTTCGCTTCATCTTCTTTTTTTCCTCTGGTAATTAGAGCAAGGTGATTTCTTGGTTTATTCAGTATTCCTTCACTTACAATTAGTCCAAACATTGTGTTTCACGCTCTAGAAACGTTTATTTCGATTGAACAGGGCAATTCTGTGTCTTTTTCGCCGTAGCGGAATAAAAAGCAGACGAATGACAAAGAGACAATTCGGTATTTAATATTCTTCGTTGTTTTTTTTTTTAATTATTTTGGTACGACTCCTCAATAGTGCATTAATTTATTGCAGCTTAATAAACGCCTCAATCTAAGTCTTCGGATACTAATCTCAGATGTTTGCTAGAAGCTGGAATATAATTATATCGACAAATATCCATTTCTACCAATGTAGATTAACTTTAATCTCGGTTTGATCTCGGTTAACTTACTTTTTATCTCTCTTTCTAGTTCTAAGAGCATTAAACTGACTAAAATCTTTTCTATCGGGTAACACCGAAACTTTCCTACTTCGTTTCATTTCAGCATGCGGAAGGGCGAGAGCTGTAATCACATCGTAACTTGCGCAAACGAACAAATTAATCGACGGTATTATTAACAAATATGGTAGCGGATTACTCGACCGCATTTAGTCATTGCCGCAACTACCAGTGCTATTTGCATCAGGTGGCTACCGGATCAACAATCTCCGCAGATCCCTCCTCCCCTTGCACGAGCAAGCTCCTTCTCCATCTCCCGCATTCATCCTCCTTTATTTTAGATCATCGCACGACGCACAGGCCTCCCTCTATCCTCTCGCTGTCCTCGTCCTTTTGCACCGGTGTGTGGCCGGTCTTACGTGCCGCACTTACACGCCCGCACGTAAGACCGGCGCGCGCGTACGCACCTACCTACGTCTAAGGGGATTAAATTACCACCGCGAGAGCCCCTATGTGGCAACTCTCTTACTTAACCTACCGAACTGTATCGGCACATTTTTCCTCCACGGGGTGTCCCGCAAACGGGACAGCCTTCTCTAAACCGGGTTCGCGGCTTGTTGCGCGCGCTAATACACGATCGCGAATAGGGAAAAAAGAAAATCAGACGTATGGGCATTGGAGTTAATCAGGGCAGCGTATAAAATCGAACGTCTAATTCTCTGTCGCTTTCATAAATATGTGCACTTTTTCGTCCCGCTGCTTGTTTATTAACACGTTAATTTCCCAGCCAGCCAGCCGACGTCACTTGTCGTTATTTTAACGTCGAAGTGTCGCCAGAAATGTCACTTTGACGTCAAAATGACGACACGTTACGTCAGCTGGCTACCTGGGTTGTCTCAGCGAGGGAAGGGAACCTAAATTGGGATTTTAGGACGGTAGATTATTGTTGAAGCCTTGCTCCTCAAGTAATTCCGGGACGATTTCATCTTAACGATCACGTGTTCGGAATGACGTGCCTAACGAGAAAATCGTTCGATCATCGAGTTTCGCGGGGCATTCACGCGAGAGGACTTCTGGTGCATTGCGTGCAGGCGACGCACGAGTGCAATGGGTTAAGTGTCCCGTTGGGACGAAGCAAGAGGTGCACTTTTTTATAGCCGTGGGGGTCCACGCAGAGAGGGGGGCCCGCCCACATCGCAGCGCAAGGGGGGCCCTTCCCTCCCTCGGCCGCCGAAATCTCCGATCCGTCGGACTCGATAAGACCGCCGACCGGATATTTATTATTTGTAATTTACATGGCGAGGTACGCCTCGTTAAGTCGCTAAGTCAGGGGCTAGAGCGCGTAGCGAATTTCACGCGCGTGTGCACACGCATGACGGGATCGGCGCGAAATTTACATAATTCTCGCTTCGACGTTGGACAATCGACAAATTTTAGAAGCTCGACGCGCGTTTCATGACCTTTCGTCATTTTTATTAGCCTGCCAATTTCCACATTAGGCGCGTATTTCGTAGAAAGTACCTAACGCGCATTTGCTCTCCAAACGTTTCTAAGGTTGTAGATTTGTATATCGGTTTCACAATTTATAACTCGTACGCATCATGCTGCAGCTTACCTTCACGCACACAATAAATTTTAATAAGTACAATACTTACTCATATTTTCTATGGACAAAAATTGAATTTTTAAAAATGTAATTTTTACATTTTACAGATGTAATAAGTTAAATAACGGTTCAAAATCACTCTCACTTATGTTATATAGAATAAAATCAACATTTTATTCTGTAAATTTTAACAGATAAATCTTGTTACTAATAATATAGAATGTACGTATTGCGTACGATTAAAAAATAAGTACACATTGTGTTGTTTTAACATTTCTTTTTAGTTATTTCAATAATTTTATATTTGAGGTCAATTAACAAAAGAGCAATATGTTAAATTAACACATGAATGTGTCAACCATTTAACACAAAAATTTTCCAACTGTGTACAATAACATATTTTAAATATGTATCTCTATAAATAACTTTGTACTTATACACACAATCGATGAATAACATTCAGATTTCGTAAGAAAGCGTATCGTAAGGGATGCCATGCAACTGCACTG